TTTAATTTAATTTAATTTAATTTAATTTAATTTAATTTGTAAGCTTTGTCAACACAGACTGAATGGCTTCATTCACTTCCTCCACTGCCATTGCTAAAACAGCGCAAAAAATCGACGTCGTTCACAACACCTCCTTCTGTTTGCTGATTGGCCGGGTTGAAATTCTACCGGAGAAATCCTTGTTTATGGGTGAAATCCCAAACGGAGCAGTGAAGGGAAACTAGAACTGTGTAGGAAGGCAAGGGCCAGGATAGGTTAGGGGTTAAAAGGCTGATTTAAAAAAACAAACAAACTGCTAAATCTAGTAGTTGTACTTTCTAGTAGTCAGGATCTGCTATCCCAAATGTACATTATTCTGAAAAGCTTCACCTGTAGTGCAGCTTCCCTCGAACCAAAGCTAAAGAAGTAAAGTCACCACGACCGTGTTCGTTCTCACCGCAGTAAAGCAGTAAGCCATCCTCTGCCTCTGCCTGTTAAAAAGAGCACATCCTAAATACATTTTCCTCAATAATGCAGAAACGAAAAATGTTGTCAAAAAATATTACGTCTTACCTTAAATTCTAATGTAATTTGAAAGGTCTGATAAGCATTTTTCAAGGGTTCAAAGGTCATGTGAGAGTAGCCAGAGAACCTGGGAAAGTTTATTGTTATCACTAAAGAAGAAGAAGAAGAAACATAAACATAATAAAATGTGAATAGAATATCAGCTGAATGAGAGCTAAAACATTAAACAGTTCCATTCGAATCATAACGGTTCAGTCTGTCAATATGTGTATAAAATCACCTCCAATTGTACGGCACAGAGATGCTTTTAGTTCATCATAAAAACAAATAACTAAAATGAAGTTTAGACAAATGTTTCTTTGTTTAACGCCTCACCCTCAGAGCAGGTGTCGCCTCTGCGGCCGAGGTTACAGTGGCAGCGCGAGCCTCCGCTCTCAGAATCAGAGAGACAGAAACTCTCAGGAGGACACACGGTATCGTCACAGCTCTGGTCGTAAACACGAGGGACCTCGCCCTGCCAGGCGGAGATGGATGGGCTGCCGGTGGTGAAGGACAGAGGAACGCTGAGGCAAATTGGAAAGAATAAAAGTTTGATTAGGTCAGTCTTCTGAAAGAACGAAAAAGTTCATGGAAATATTTGATTTTTTTTTATGTCCAATCCATTTAAGAGACAAGCACTTCCCTCTTTTGCTGATATTAACAACAAGTCAAACTGACATGTATATTTCACCAAAATACAATAGAAAATAATTTTCAACTGCTTTGTGTTCATGTCAGAGCCTATCTGAGCAATCTCTAGATTAGAAAACACCTGTCCATTACAGCAGTGTTTCCCAAAGTTGGGGTCGGGACCCAAAGTGGGGTCCCGAAACATCAAGGTGGGGTCCTGAAAAGATTTTCTAAATTAATTACATTTTTGCCTTGGTTGTTACAAAGGAGTGAGGTTAGTGTATTTAAAGTGGATAAATGTAGTATAAAAATATTGTTACTATGCCCATGTTTAGTTGACCTGATACAAATGTTTATCATCCAAAAATAGTTGGGGGCACAGGTCTCTGTTACTATTTTGTGGGTCAAAAACTGAAAAGTTTGGGAACCACTGCATTACAGGACCAACACAGATCATATATACCTCTGGTGAATTTAGAATCACTGAACAATCTAAACTCACAGACAGTAAAAGTGGTGAGTTTCCTGCTACAAGGTAACACTGCTAACCACCTCATCACAATGTTCACCTGCTGGTGGTGAGGGGAGCAGTAGTCATGGTGTCAGTACTACTCAGCTCAGAGGTGACTGACAAAACCAGATCTGTGGAGTCCAGGAGGATTGCGGAGATGGTTGTAGAAAATGGTTGATCAGTGACATTTGGACGGTTTTCTGTGTTCATGCGGTAAACGACGTTTCGACCAGATGGCGGTCCAGGGTGTGAACGGAGCTGGGACTTCTTGTCAGCGTCGCTGATACCTGGAAATGGCTTCAGCTAGAATACAGACAAATAGCTTAATGAATCTACTGTATATTCATTTGTCTTATAGTCATGAAAGCTGCGTATTAAACATTTTATATATACTGTAGAATGCACCTCTTCAATAAAAACATCGTAATCTGAGTCATCAAAGTCAAATCCATCTTCATCTTCAATTCTGGAGTTTGTGACGTAAAGGTTAAAATCCCCGCTGCCAACATCTGATGTGCCTGTAACAAACATCAGAGCTGATTGTTAAAATTACACTTTGTGCTATAAGTGTAAATAATAAAAGCATAAAAATAGAAGCTAAAATGTATAAATGGACATAATGTACAGCACATTACTTTTTATATGCTGTATATATTTTGCTTCTAAAATGGAAACACTGAAAAGAAACTTAATTCTTTTATCGGCACGTCTAAACAAAAGTTGTATATGTCGAAACTGACTTTATGCGAAGTGGTTAGTTACAGTWTGTGTAGTTAATTTAAAGGTGATGGACCCTCATCAAAGTAAATATTTAATTTTACAATGTTTTACAATCAAACTTTTATGTGTTGGAGTGACAAAAAATGGACTTTTTAACTGTAACTGTGTGCATWAGAGAAACTCCATTTTGGAGCCTATGGAGAGATTAAACTGCCAAGTGGCACCACCTAAAACCTGTTTGATTAATGCTGCGTAGTGCACAGAGAGTGTGGGGGAGGGGGGCTAGTCCTTGCAAACAAATCAGTTGTTGTGTAACAGTCATTCTTAATCAGCACAATATCTAAGGTTTAAAAAAACCTGTCACAGAGAGAGTAACAAGGAAGGTCAGTCAATCAATCCCACCCCTGCTGCTCACTCAAGCATTGGCAACATTGTGTGCATGAATGTCTGCATTAGTCTGGACRGGCACTAAAGGGGTCTGGCATCTCATCCTTAATCCTGTCTGATAAAACTTTAGTCCCTAACCGGCTTTATTCCCTGCTGAGAAACAATGCTGGTGAATAACTGAGTTTGTTTCTTCGTTACCCTAAAATTACTCATTTTGGTTTGTTTCATAATGTTCATTAACTTCATAATAAACATTTTACTTGTTTTTCAAATAGCTTATATCACTTAACTCAGCCTGTGTGGTTTTAAGTTAACTTGGCCTAAAAGTGTGAATAGATTCTGTTTGACGATGTAAGTGTTTTTCATTACTGTTTCTATTAATAAACTGTGCAAAAACATAGTGCATATATTGTGCGTGTACCTGTGTAAAGTGTGCACTAAAAATGTGAGTTTTAACATCAGCCAGTCATGACCACTCCTYAAACTTTCATCAGTGACATCACTGGCTGCTGTAATCATCATCAATAATCATAAAGAAGTCTGTTTTGATTTTTTTTTTTTTTTCACTGAGGAACTTTGTCCCACAGACTCAGTGACACAAAACTAACAATCTGTGACCAAGTCATAGAATTTCAACAGCAAATTTACTCAAACTCTATACTGRTTGGCAGCATGTTGGACAGCTGAAGGAAACCAGGATTTATTTTTTATCATCTCAAAATATACATAATTATCAAATTTGTTCGAACTAACCAGAATTTTAAAAAAAAATTTAAGTGAGTAAAGCTAACTAAAACTATGTTTATTGTTGTTTTTTGATGTGAAGTTGGCTCAGAGATCAGCGTCTGGCCTTACCAAGTGTTCGGACAGGGTTGTTGATGTGGCTGGGTGGGCTTACTCCGTGCATGTTGACAGCTCGGACAACAAACTGGTACTCTGTGTCTGGGAGCAGCCCTTTCAAAACCATGGAGTTCGTCTCAATAGGCTCACGAATATATGTCCACTCCGTGTCCATTTCTGGCCTGAGTAAGAAAGAAAACAGTCTTAACAATTTTTAAGACAGTTGAAAAAAAAAGAACAGAACAATAACATGCTGCTTACGCGTTTTTATTTATTTATTTATTTTACTGTGACTGAAATTGAACTTTCAATGTGTCTTTTCAGGACGGCTTCTTTTGATGTGAGGCGAAAAAGACTTGCAGCCAAGACAGCCCTTCAGAGAGAAAAATGTCCCCAAATACAAAAAAAACAGACATATTCATGTTTGCTCTCTCACAATAAGAGACAGATTCTCTGCGTTTTTCTTCCATGTTTGTTTCAGAGGGATTTAGCTCTGCGCAGCAAAAATGTATATTTAAACATTTACTTTTTAACGTACAACTGACTTTTCTGGTTATYGATGTATGGAAATCCATCAAAGGATTTCAAACTGCCCATTTGTGACATCTGCTTCCTTGACTCTACAGTCTAGACATGCGAGCTCCTTTGTGTGCATGTGAGGCTGAAAACTAATAGAAGGAAAATKAAACTCATTCTTTCTCATGTCCCAACTGACCCTTATGTCAAAACACAAGTGGCTACACTGAACAGACCGGCAAAAATTCAGATCCTTCCCAAAGAGAGCTGTGTTTTCTGTTTGTCTCTGGTGCACAAGGCTGATTATTCATGAATGTGCTGCTTTCCAAAGCAATAGGCTAATGCAYACTCATGACTAATGCAGAATTTCATGAAGGGATGCCTATCACCTGCCAGCTTTCATGTAGAGGGGTGATAAATATGTTMTTGAATCGATTTATTGAAGTTCAAATTTAATGATTCAAAGTTAACTCATCAACAGTTTTGTGACCAGTTTTAAGATCCATAAATCACAAGAGAGCAGGAATCCTCAGAAGAAACAGATTGTTTTCCCAAATAGTTGACATAAAGTATTTACAGTTATTTTTACTGAGTCATAGGACCTAGGTTTAACAGTCATTTCAATGAAAATAAAGATTAGTTTTAATTTTCCAAATAATTTGTCTAATATTTGTACATTTAGCAAACAATATTTTTTTTCAGCAGTTAGTCCAACAGTGCATAAAAACACAACCCTGGGTGGATATTTAGGGTCCATGCAACATGTCATGTAATCAAAAAATGAAACAGAACAGTCGCATGGAGCAATTTTGTAGAGGTTATTGCAATTAGGCAAAAGTTGGTCTTTTGAAATAACATTGTAGCTTATATAACTTCACTTATAACTGTTTTCCTCTGTAAAACCACCAACATTTCCATCACTTTGTACAATTTAGCCTAACCTCAGGAGAAAAGTGAGAAAAAAGTTAAAAGGATATATATATATATATATATATATATATATATATATATACAGTATATAGTTCATTTTAATAGTCAATATTCAAATAGTATTTTGCCAAACTGAAACATATAATCTGAACTGCTGCAATAATACAACATCCAATCCCTTTTTGAGTGTCATTTTTCTAAATTTATTTGTAAAACGTCTCATTTAGTATCTTTCAAATTCTTGGGTTTGATCATATTTTTAATCATTAAATTGTTCTTATTAGTGAAACCTTTCCAAACGCAAACATTTTATCACCTGGAAAAACATTTGCTTTTTATTTGTTGCTTTTCTTCTCAAGGCCTCATCAGATATTTTTTCTCTCATACAGTAGCCATGTTTCCATCCAATTTTAATTTGAATTTTGAGCAAAATTTTAAAATGTTGAAAAAAGACAACAAAAGAGAAAATGCAAATCATATGTGTTTCCATCARYTGGCTTGGAGTGAATCAACCAGGCTGCGCAAAGTGTAACTACATCAGACCTTGGCATTACACACAGCTGTAGTAAACAGGAAGTAAAGTTGCAAACTAGGGAAACACATCTCAGGACAATGGAGACGAGTTATCAGGAAAGTGTTGATACTATTGGGAAAGTTGCAATTATTCTGTCATATCAACAACTATTGACAATGTTACATGCTGTCTGGAGACGTAGAAAAATCAACACAATTTCTTTCATGTTATGGGAATATCCATAAAGACACAGACAATGGGAGGAAGGTCCAGCTGCAGCTGCAGCAGCAGGTAGAATTGTTGGACAGTGGGAACAGCTGATCAACCATGTGAAGTAAATGTCAGAACTTATTCTGCAAATGTGTTTCCATCTCCCCATTTGTGCATTAACTCTTTTTTTTATAAAATCTGAAAACCACCTCGAGCAAGCATAAAAAACTATTTAGCAAAATTCAGGAAGTTTTTGTGAATTTTGCTGTTTCCATCCAGCTTTTCTAATGCGATACTTCAAAATGTGTATGAATAAGMGTTGATGGAAACACAACTAGTGTTTATATTGTACAAAATGGTAGACTGATGTAGGTGACGTATACGTTTGTGAACTGAGTTCTTATATGAATGTTTATCTGATCTGAAACAGCATTAATTGCCTTTTTTTGCAACTGTTTGATCAGTCACGACTGACCTGATGTAAGCCACCAGGAAGTGAAGAACCGGTGCGCTTCCTTCACTCTCTCCATGTTGCCACGACAACGCCAGCTCTGTGTCCGATACCGCCATGACAGCAGGCTGAGTTGGGGGTGATGGGGGCATGCACATTTCTGATGAAGAAAAAAAAACTGAAATCCACTAGAGACAAAAGGAAAAAAAGGTTATCTGCTGTAAGTTTCGTGTTCTTACCGTGGGAAGCAGTAATGACGTCTCTGGGCATGCTGGGTCTGCCCTCCCCTGCCCATCCATATGCTCCAACACTGACTCTGTACTTAGCGTTCATCTTTAGGTTACCAATGGTCACGTCCTACAAAGTGCATCAAAGACAAGGATCATGTTAGGTATTTTAAACCAACACTGAAAAGCAGCAGAATCATTAAGGCCAGTGGTGTCCACAGTCAGTCCTCAAGGGCTGGTGTCCTGCATGTTTTAGGTGCTGCTCTGGTTCAACACAGCTGAACCTAAAAAGTGCTTGAGGGCTGACTTTGGACACCACTGATTTAGGCCACGTGTCAAACTCAAGGCCCATGGGCCAAATGTTGCTCACCACCGAATTTTATGTGGCCCTCAAGAGCTTCAATGATGTATTAATGTCTTAAAGCCAGCACTGACCACAAACTGCGTCGATTATTTTGCCAGTGAAATGATGGCATCCCACCACAAGGTGGAGGTGCAGTTCAAAAGTAGCCGGTAGCTACTTTTGCTCATACATTTTAACCGGAACACTCCTCCTGTGGGATTTATCAAAGTGGGAGAGTTCAGAATTCAAGATGGCAGCTACTCACCACAACAGTGGGTATAACTTTCTTAGTTTTACTTTTAGCAGTATTTCTGTATTTATTTATTTATTTTACATTTAGTCAGTCATATAGTACTTTTTATTGTTTATAAGAGAACAACGTAAAATGCTGTTTCTATGCAGGAAATACCAGGTAAAGCTCAGTTGTTTGTTAGCGGTGCTCAGCCGATGAGACGAGAAACGTGACGTTTCGTGTTTAGTCGAAGTTAAACACGAAGCGTTGAATTACAACTGGTCCTTTGAGGGCGGCCATGACGTTSGTGTGGCCTTCAGTGAAAATGAGTTTGACACTCCGGATTCAGACCGTAGAGAGTCGGTGAAAAAGAAAGAATAAGGTTGGTACTCACAAAGCCAGCTTGCCCGTTAAATTGTCCCTGTAAGAAACAGAAAATGTTAAATTATTTACGTCCACATCATCGTTGTCATTTGTGAGATTTGAGTTGCTTCAAAGTAACCACAATCCATTTTTTTGTCTGCTCAAACAAGTTATTAGCTAATCATTTTAGTCAAATTTATACATCAGAGCAGTGATGTTAGTGGGAAAATGTTACTGCATGATGTGTCACCACATAATGAAAAACTTTTCATTAGATTTTTATGTACTTTGTGAATTAGAAATGATTCCAAAGCCACAATTTTTATTTTGGGATCAAAGAGGTGACTGTTCTTTTTGTTGTTGCAATGAATAATGATAATTATGCTTTGATATGCCAATGAACCTGTTCATATTTCTGTTCAGGTTCAGCACAGGCACCCATGATGTGTATGGCATAGAGTCACAGTTTAGTAAAACAAATAAATAGCCCTCTGATTTGCAACACCATGCTGAGTTAGAGGCAATTTCTGCTATCTCTAAACAAAAAGCAAAGATGTGAAAATGACTTTTTAGGGAATACTTACAGTAGTTAACATGTCCAAACTGAGGGGCACCTCCATGAAGGATGATGTACCGACTGGACGACTATTCTTTATTTCTGTGTAAAAAACCTGGACAGCCAAAAATAAATACGTATTCACGATGTTTTAATCTTTTCTTTTTTATTATAAACATCTAATAATAACAGTGTACATAAGCCTGACAATAAATATGAATATATTTGTTAAAATACGGGTGTTTCTAAACTACCAAAACAGCCGACATGGTATAATGCCCGAGTTGTTGGAAAGAGAGGTATTCAACTAATCCTCTTAGAGCAAACATATGGCCCAAGGTAGAGCTCACCCAATCATACTGAGCTACATTTATTAATTAGTCATTSAGAATAAACTGTAAAAAGGAAAGAAAAACAAAAAAATAAGGAACAAGGAAAGAACAGTAAGACTGAAACTTTTGGCATGGCATGTAAAATTGAAAAACAGGTTTATTTGCAAATGTCGAAATGTATCAAAAAAACACAATAAAATATGAGAGCAGTCCACTTCCAGTTACAATACACAACTCCAGCTGAGCAAAATGTTTGGTTGAAAAAAAGATTATGTCTTCACCAAGAAGTAATTCAGGATTTCATGAGGAGTTCAACTTGGAATGAAACACTAAATAATATTTGAGGACACATCCTTCAGGGCAGTTTTGCACAAAAGAAAAATATACACATTTGGCAGTGGAGGAGTTCTATTCAAACACATAAAGTTTGAAAATGCCCCCCACCCCCACCCCCTCAAGGCCATCCTCCTGAACGAGGAGCTTGATGGGCACTTCAGTCTGTGGCAGCCATGCAGAAAAAAATGAGCATCCACTCAGGAAAGATACAAGTGGGGATTTGATGTTTCTGTCCTTTTTTAAAAAAAACTCCTTGATGTGATAAAAAATAATCTAAAAACATATATATTTTTAAATCACCCTTTTTTTCCGTTAGTCTTACAGAGTTTTTTGAGGGGTGGTGAGTTTTATCACAAACCTTGACAAAGTGCAGCAAATCGATGGAAACAGCTGAAACAGTCTAAAAATATTTCAGCTAATTGTACGTTGTTTAGCATATTTGTATCCCTTTATTTCAAACTGTCTCTGTGAGTACCTTGTATCCAGTGATTGTGCTCACGTGTCTTCGGGGCATCTTCCATCGCACACTGAATGCCGTACAGTTGAGGGTCTCCAGCTGGATGTCTAACGGAGGACTCAGACGATCTTGTTTACACAAWGACATAAACACAAAGTTACACAAAGAGGAAAGGTAACACACGATTAACTGAACTGTTTTCACTAGTAAATAATTAATACGTATTGTACCTTTTTCATAATAAAATAAAACTTTCGAAAGGATAATAATTTTTTGAAGCAGGCAATGAGGAAAGTGCATGAGGATTTACTGTGATGCAGCTTAAGATTGCTTTTAAAATGTTGGTAAATTAAAGTCTAACTATGACCAGATTTATGATCGGAGTAGTCTAACTGGGACAAAGAACAATTTGAAATGCCGCCATCGTAAAACTGCTTCAATCTCAACAGTGTTAATTCACTTTAAGACTAATTTTATTATTATATTTTACACTGTAGACAAATTTACACTGTTGTTATTCCTGCAGGAAGTGCAGCATGTGCTACAGTCACATGCTGCTGCCTCTGTGTTTTCAGATAATCAGACTGTTGTGTGAATAACTGCACAATATAAAACAGAAAGCAGAGCAAAAGTTCACAAAACGTGTTTGTCCCTGATAACAGGTTTTGGCTGCTTTGTGATAGCATTTTTTTTCTGATGCAACCATGAGGCTCCTGTTATTTTAATGCAGTTGAATCATACAAACATCCTCATGAAACAAAACCGCTGATTTGTTTGCTTATTTTATAAGGTTTAAAATAATGTTTTACAGGTGGGACTGCTGGTCCTGGGTAACAGTGATCCCTGTGACACAGAAAGGAAGAAGTGGATTAAAGATACTGGATGGATGGATGGATGGATGGATGGATGGATGGATGGATGGATGGATGGATGGATGGATGGATGGATGGATGGATGGATGGNTGGATGGATGGATGGATGGATGGATGGATGGATGGATGGATGGATGGATGGATGGATGGATGGATGGATGGATGGATGGATGGATGGATGGATGGGTGTTTTATGACTTTCATTTGAGAAAAAAAGTCTTAACTTGTTTGCTTCTCATATGAGTTGACAGAAACCTCAGATGTTAATATTTTGAAAGGTTGAGTCCTTAAAAGAAACAGAAACACTTTTCTAGTATCGAGAGAGGGACTGAAGAAGTTTTTCTAACTGTAGGAATAATAATCAGATCTATTTATGGTACAACTGTTTACTGTATGGATCATAAGTGGATGATACAAGGACCCCTGTGACTATTACACACCTTTTACATTCAGAATTACTGCTAATAAAAATAGGCTTTTTTGTGTTTTGTTGCTCAGTAAATTCAAGTTTTCTGTCAGAATTAATTTTTTTGTTTATTTTGTGTTCACTATGATAACCTTTCTCCTCCTTCAGTCCTCTCATGTCTTGACCTCCCCTTGTTCATCTGAGTGGGTAATTCAGAATCTCGTCTATTTTTTTCTTAAATAAACACACAGCAGCTTAAAATGTATTCAGTACACCTTGAACTGGATTTTATTTTAGCCTTGGTTATTGTTGTCCATGCTGCTCTTAAACCAACTGAAAAATTCATACAAACATAAAACAAGGGTTGCTAAAGGAAGAAAAGCTTGGTAAGTTTTTTTCAGTTTGTATGAAAATCAAGTGAATAATCATAATGTCTGGAAAAAAAAAGTTGCCACCAGAAAACAACAGGTCACACACTATAATATTTCATTGGACCGCCTTTAGCTTTGATTACAGCATTGTTTCGATAAGCTTCTGCAACGTCACAAGATTTATTTCCACCCAGTGTTGCATTAAGTTTACACTAAGATCTTGCATTGATGATGGTAGAGTCCTGCTGCACAAAGCCTTCTCCAGCACATCCCAAAGATTCTCAATGGACTCTGTGGAGCCAATCCATGTGTGGAAATAATGCCTCATGCTCCCTGAACCACTCTTTCACAATTCAAACCCGATGAATCCTGGCCTTGTTGGAACATGCCCGTGTCATCAGGGGAGAAACAATCCATAGATRGAATAACCTGGTCATTCAGTATCTTCAGGTCAGCTGACCTCATTCTTTGAGCACAAACTGTTGCTGAACCTGAACCTGACCTGCAGCAACCCCACATCATAGACCTTAGTTAAATCCAGGTGGTGACTTTTTTTGGCAGGGCAGTGTATAAACAATTTAAAGAACATTTTCAGTGTTTTAAACAGGTTTTGTTTAATTAAGACATAAATCTAGCAAAGCTTTTGCGGTGTTACTGTTAGTCTGGTGATTTAAGTAAGACAGTGATTTATTTTATTTTATTTTTTTCAATGAGGGGATGTTTTCGAATTTATTCAGTAAAAAAATGTCTGTTCAACTGATAGGGTTAAAGCTAAATAACTAAAAATAATTTTAAATATATTACTAGCCTGTGCTTTTCAAGTGCTCTTCTAAATTCTTAGGGGACGTTGTTTAGCTTCAGACATGAGTGAGACGAGTAGTTCTGTCTTAAGTGTTTCTGCTGGGCCGACCACAAGTCCATGGAAATKAGGGTTTCCAAATAACAAGGGAATTGTTGTGTTGATCAAATATTATTTATTGCTGTTTGAATAATAATGATGACGTCAACACAGCAGACTGCTACAAGATTACACTTGTTAATGACTTCATTGAACCATAACACAGTGAAGCAATATATGGTGAAACAGGCCATTAAAGGCCAAGGGAAAGTAGCTGTCCTTGAAGGAATGATTGCTGTCTACCACCTTGTATCCTAAAGCTGTAGAAAATAATTGTTACTAACAAATTATAGCCCTGTTGGATATAAGTGCTAAATCGGGAACATATCACCAGGGTTCAATTTGTTTCTGTTTAATCCAAAACTATACATACAGTTTTTATATGAAAGCAAAACTAAATGAACATTATTTTTATTTAAAGTATTCACACAGGCTGACACGAGTTTCTTATTTTAGTTTTAGTTTCCATTCTTCTAGTAGCTCTTAAGAAGCTCAAAAGGGCGTTTTGTGATGCAAAATTTCAGGTCCACTGACACATATATGGTTTAAGCTCAATCTATTTGCTCTCACTTGTCCAGCAGTGATGCTATTTCACATGGAGCAAACATCTGAAGTGCTGCTCTGCTTCGTATCTGTCTCTGGGCACAGGGAAACTTGTTCTTTATTGATCTGAGGAGCCCAGGACCAAAACATCACAGAGTTGTGCGTTGCTGTTCTCCCCCTGAAACATGCTGCTTTAGGTTTGATGTAAAATGTCAGTTTTAAATATGAACTCTTTCTTGTGCTGATAAGAATGTAAATGTTTTTTTTAAAACAATGGTTCATAAATTGGTTAAAATGCACATTTTGATAACTTTCTACAGTGAATGTAAAAACAAATCTCCWGAGTTATTCTATTATTAATTCAACATCCCTTTCAAAACAGGGAATAAAGCTGTCAGGAGAAGTGAAACATGACTGCTTTGGGCTGTGTCTTTATTCGGTTTTGACTCTTTTTCTGAAGCACCAGCTTTGTTGTCTAAGACTGATGTGATGCTTGTGGACACTGAGTCCTGCTCTGACGACCCCCCCCCCCCCCCGAGAAAAAGATCAGAGAGACCTTAAAACAAAAGCACACACAAGTACAAATGTCAAGTCATGAACACAGAGCTACAGATGTCCTATATATGGAGGTCTAAATGGTGCTCCAGTCTGATGGCCTGATGTAAAAGTCAGGGCCTGAGGGTCTAAGAGTGTGAAGAAAGATGAAATGCAGCATTCAGAGTGGCAGAGAGGGACAAGAGGGGTGACAGACAGAAAGGAGGAGAAGTGGAGAAAAAACAGAAACAGGATGGCAAAAAAAAAAAGACAGAAACCACAACACACAGAGGGACTGATGAAGTCAACATTTAGGGATTTGTGCTCTAAGGAGCAGATTTTCAAGTGGATAAATGAGTTTATTATTGGCCTGAAACAGAATATCCTCCCCTCTCTGTTTGTTTTTGAGACAAATTTATAACTATTATGTATATTGGCGGTATTTTTCTCATCATAAATAACAACTTAAAAATGAAGGTGTTTGTTTTTCTGTCATTTTTATGCAAGAATGTAAATTCATTCCTCCCACAGTAAAGCWTGACGGGGTGTACAGTTATCCATAGATTCATGCAAACATAATTGGGCAAACAAAAGAAGCTGAACAAGAATTTTAGGAAACTTTTATGGAAATTTATTTTGTATTTATAAAGAGTCTGAATTTTAGACAAAAGCAGACTTTTCGAATGACCCCCTAAACTTCACAAAACTTTTAGTTGTTTATGAAGGAATTTCTCTGCTTTAAGTCTGTTCTTCATCAACCTGAACATTTGATAAGAATGAAGAATATGTTTGACAGATCAGGTTAGAATATTTCATCTCTCCTCTCTTGCTGTGCTGCTGATTAATGAAGCCAAGTCCCAAAAACTTACATTGTGTTTTTTTTTTAGATGAGGTCATTATCCTTCAGATAAAACATTGCTTCATGTGTTCTGTTCTTTCTCTTGTCTTTTTGCCAGTGGCTGATTTTTTGTTAGCCTTGATTCAAGAACCTTTTATCATTTTTGCGTTTGCATGTTTCTGCAGAGACAGAGCCAGCCTTTCTATTTTTGAGACCCTCAAGTTGATTTTAAACACCCACTCCAACTTCTTGGGGTCATCATTCTCTAATTTCCTGTCACTGCATTTTTAAACCGTCCTTTTGTTATTTTTCAGACATGTTTCACAGCCCACACATTAACTGTGTGGGCTGAACCTTTATTGTCTTTATCTCATAAA